AGACTCAATATGAGAGCATGTATTTTGCAGAATATTCAACACTAAGCAAAATAAACAAATGGATGAATAATGAGGGTTTTTGGTTTAATTGAAAGATCATTTTGCAGGATCATCTGAATAAAACCTGTTCGGCATTCTTGAATTAATCCAAATTACATTGATGAACATTGAAAACATTTCCACATGGAATGCTTAGAAATGTATTTGAGCCTCTAGGACACAGGGGAATGATTTGTGCCCCCCTGGTCATTGATGGTCTCCAACTCTATCAGTCCCACAGGTGATCAGGGATGATGGGAGTTGTAGTCCAACAACATGTGAAGCACCACAGATTAGCTGCTCCTGCTCTAGAAGGGTCCCTCGAGCTGTGTTAATGTGGAAAAGATTGTAGAGGAGAAATCAAGGGAGAAAAGGAGTCATGGAGTTCTTCTGTTCCTAGGCCATCACAGCTCTCACAGCAATCCAGCAAAGGCTCTCAAAAGCGACAAACAAAGTCACATGGCCAGTGAAATGTACTATTCCCAAATTATGATCTCTAATGATATAAATTGGGGTTTGGAAATGATAACCAGAAAATAAACCAAATGGAGAGATCTTATATTAAACGGTCATCAGAATAAGAAAATATGTTGGATTTAACACATTTGCTTCTTTTCTTTTTTCCTGTCACAGCAGCAAACCAAGATGTTCTATAGGCACAGTGAAATGGGTTCTATCCAAAACTATGGCACACTCAGAGGAGACCTATTTAAATCAATGGACTTCAGTCAATGACTAACCTAAGTCCATTGATTTTGATGGGCCAGATCTGGGACAGAAAACATGTCTTCCCCAAATAGATCTCATGACAGGTTTGAAAATGAAAGCTGGACAAGACTCTATCTGAAAGCAAGATGTAATAAACAAGTTCCTTGGAGCTTCTTTACTGAAGTACAGAAATCAGCAACCAATGTAAGTTTTACATTCAGATTATAGTGGACGAAAGCAGAAACCCATTGAAGCGTCCTATTTAAAAATGTCCCAAGGTCTTTTGTTAAAAGCCGAGAAACTTTCAAGCTGCTCTTGTCTAAATGCCTACAAAAATAACCAGCATTCCCCTATAGAAGTGTTAAGTTCTTTAAAAAAGAACTGGACCATATTTTGTTTTTGCATGTCAGCTTCTGCAAAAGCCATTTTGCTTATTGGACTTGTCAACCACATCGTTATTGGACTTGTCAACAGCTTTCCCCAACCTGGTGCTCCCCAAAAATGTTGTTTAGCCCCAACTCCCAAGAGATCCAGCGACTAGCATGGCCACTGGTTAGGGAGTTGGGGTCCAAAATATCTGGAGGACAGCAGATAGGAAAGGGCTGGTTTGGAGAGAGAAAATCAAAATCAGCAGTGCCTACTTTTCACATAGCTGCTGCAATCACCATGCATTGAGGTTTTAAGCAATTGCCATAGTTTACAGTCATCCCAGGCAACCCCTCTGAATGCCCAGCAACAGACTGGCTAACTTCCTCCATATTTTCCCAAGCAAATGCAGCTTCATGGATCTAATAATAAATGGTATAGCGCAATATGGTGTTTATTAGATGGCTACATTTGTTGGGGAAACACTTGGCACTGTTTGTCTGGGATATAAATATTTTACATCACTTTTGCTAACCAAGGCTGGTGTGTGTACATTAGACTGTGTACTCAGCTATCCAGCTTAAGAAGAGCAGCGGATGCAAATTGTCCAAACAATCCTCCGCTGATTTGATTGTCATCATTCATATCCTGCTTGCCCCTGTGATCTCTTTTTTTGTATAAATGGAGCTGGCTGGAGCACACCATGGTTCTAGAGGAAGGTGTTAGTGGAGAGTTGTCCATGCTACCGAACAGATCCAGCTTGGGACTGTGCTTCAGAAAATGAAACAAATTTGCACACGACTATAGAAAACTGAGTCAGATCACTGCCCCATCCTGCTCTGTATTTTCAGCAGCTGCTCACCACAATTTTAGATAGGGGTGTCACTTAAGGTCTGTTCTACAGATATAGCAAAAAGCTAGGTAAATAGTACTATACTACATCGAATTACAGGTGAGGAATCACATTTCTAAATTGTGCCCTATGCGTAAAACAAATAAACCAGAGTGGTTGGGGAAACAAAGCCAGATGGGCGGAGTATTATTATTTGGCAAATAGTAAACTACCACAGAATGGATGGAGTAGAATCTTTTTCTTCATATGCTAGATTTTGTCTGCAGCAATGTTCCACACACACCCCCATTTTACATAGGTTTTTTTAAAATAAAAAAATTGAAACTGCCAACTGAAAGCTGAAATAGTACAACCTAAAGAGACTGCATCTTTCCCACTCAATTCTGCGACAAGTATGGAACATGCCTTATGTCTTCAGGGAGAAACCACATCAAGATGGAAGTGTCACACGAGAAAAGGATCTAGTTGTCTTAGCAGACCATAAGCTTTACATGAGTCAACAGTGTGATGCAGCAGTGAGGAAAAGCTAATGTTATTCTAGAGCCTTGGTCATACTCCATCTAGAGTACCAATACACTAAAAGAATCCAATTAGTGCAAATACACTAAAAGAATCTTCCATTCCTGGGCTGTGACGAGAAAATGGAACTCAAATTTGCCTGGCCCCATGGATGGCCTTTGGAAATTTAACTACATGGGGACATTGGAAATGGCATGTTGGATGCATGAAGCATATTGACCCCAATACATGGCTCCACCGTCAACCATGATACTACAAGCCCTGAACGTTTGCCACATGGATATTCAGCTATTCATTTCTATTTCAAAGGTCCTTGTATGCATATGTGTGTATTTTATATAAAAAGAGAGGTGTGAATAAGGCCATTTATGATAGAAAGTCACTATGTGGTAACTTTCTCCTATCATTCTCTTATTGATAAGGTTTCCCAATTCCTCTCTGCCTCAGTTCCATTGCCTTCATAGTGTGCCAAATTTGCTCTTGCACTAATATTATCCTAGGGATGTGGGTGGCACTGTGGATTAAACCACAGAGCCTAGGACTTGCTGATCAGAAGGTCGGCGGTTCGAATCCCCGCGACGGGGTGAGCTCCCATTGCTCGGTCCCCACTCCTGCCAACCTAGCAGTTTGAAAGCACATCAAAGTGCAAGTAGATAAATAGGTACCACTCCGGTGGGAAGGTAAACGGCGTTTCCGTGCGCTGCTCTGGTTCACCAGAAGCAGCTTAGTCATGCTGGCCACATGACCCGGAAGCTGTACGCCGGCTCCCTTGGCCAATAAAGCGAGATGAGCACCGCAACCCCAGAGTCGTCCACGACTGGACCTAATGGTCAGGGGTCCCTTTACCTAATATTATCCTAGGCCAGCAGAAGGAAACCTCTGGCCCTCCAGATGTTGTTGGGCTCCAACTTACATCAGCCCCAGGCAGCTTGGTCAATGGTCAAGGATGATGGGAGCTGGATTTCAGCACTTCTGTTCCCCAGCTTTGTGCTAGAGATTCCAGACCTGGCCTATTAGCGAAAATTTACACATGTAGTGTGTGTGTCTGTGTGTGTAAGAGAAATGACCATTACAGTGATGCACCCCAAACATAGCTTTCCTATTGCCCACACCTCAATACTTTTCAATACAGTTCATAAACTTTATGTTTGAGTGACAAAACACCATTTCATGCTGTAACATCAAAGGATGCTTAAGCACGTGTAAAGAAGAAGGAAGAGCAGATGGAGGAGGAGGAGAAGGTAGTGGTGGTGGAGGAAAGTATAGTCCGAACTTATGGGGTTCAGAGCTGACTTGAGGCATCCATGATCCCCACAATGATTAACCTCTGAACTGACAAAATCTGAGAATGACTGGAGTCGGTACACAACTACATTTAACTATTTAAAGAAGAACAAATTTCCTCATTTCAGTTTACAGGAACGAATGTAGCCCAAAGCCCAGAAACAAACACAGCAGGGCTCACCTGTGGGCAGAGCTTGCCATTTTCTCTTCTACAAGCCTACCGTCAGGTCCAGGGTCAGCATTTGGCATCATCAGGCAGCTGCTGGAGGCCCAGTGCCCTAACAAGGTCCACTTCTGATGGCTGCCTGGCTGACCCCCTTTGGGTATCCTTTAAGCATCCCCCAGCCTCCACCCTGCCTATGAACTTCTTTGTTTTCTGGTACTCCAATGTGATGCATACTAGGCAGGGCCGTCTTAAGCATATCTGGAGCCGTTGTGCAAAGATCCCTCTGGTGCCCCCCCACTCCAAAAGAAGGGAGGGGGCGGTGTCCTTTGCAATCAAGCAGGAAAACATGCTGGCGGACATGCTTTCCGGTGTCAGGGTGCCCAAGAAGGCAGCCTGGGAAGGCTGCACGCCGCCTTTCACCAGGAAGCAGGAGGAGGACAACAACCGGGAGCAGGTTCGTCTTTAACAGATGCAGAGGCTTGGGAGAGAAGCTGCACGCCTGCCAGCCATATACAGTGGTACCTCTGGTTACGTACTTAATTCGTTCCGGAGGTCCATTCTTAACCTGAAGCTGTTCTTAACCTGAAGCACCACTTTAGCTAATGGGGCCTTCCAATGCCGCCGCACGATTTCTGTTCTCATCCTGAAGCAAAGTTCTTAACCTGAGGTACTATTTCTGGGTTAGTGGAGTCTGTAACCTGAAGCGTATGTAACCTGAGGTACCACTGTGGTTGGTGGGGCGCAGCTGGCGGGTATGCAGGGAAAGGGGAGGCTGCCGGCAAAGCCGCTCAGCTCTCCCACTCGCTAGGGCGCCCCTGAGAGGCCGGCGCCCTGGCACAACGAACCACTAAGACCAATGGGAAAGACGGCTCTGATACTAGGTTGGGTCTAGCTGAGGCACCATTTAAATTCCCATTGTTCCCCCCATATGATGCTACACATTGTAGCTTCCCCAGATTAGCTGGTGCTCATTGCAACATGGGAATATGCCATTGATCCACCTCGATCAGTATTGCCTGCACAGATTGGCAGCGGCTCTCCAGGACTGCTGACAGGGTTCTGTCCTGGAGATGCCGGTGAATGAACCTGGGGACTTCTGCGTGCAAAGCAGATACCCTTCCACTAAGCTATGGCCATTCCGTTTGAGTGCTTCTGCCACCAGCTACACTGGTGGGCCCAACAAGAGGTACTTTGCCTAGGGCCCTCTCAGCCCTGGAGCAGACCCTGCCTATCGTCATCTTTGGGTGAAAGGGCTTTGTCAGCTGCTCTGCTTTCATACATACTGTTCCAAACGATCTCTCTGCAGGCATTCGTCTTAACACCTGTCAGTTGAAAATTTCAGCTGTAAGGAACAGTATAACATCACACAGTGTCTGGGCTGCTGGTGCTGGCAAATTATATTCTGTGATCTGAAATAGGGGGCATTCCTTTTGAAACAGGCAATAATGTGGCAGCTGTCTTTGTTTTCATTTGCACCACGGGAGTTTATTGAACAATTTTTTAAAAAGTATAACCCATATGTAGAATGGGGAAAAAATCAACAAGGCTATTGTGAATGAAGATCTCTTTAAGGCTAGAACAAAATAATCAATAGCATTTATAGTCTCTGACTAAAAGCAGTTTGGGGGACCGATCTTATATTCAGGGCAGTAGGGGAAAAAATTCAGATTTTTCCTTTTAAAGATTTAAACTTTTACACACTCACATAATTTCCCACTAACAGCTGAATCCTAACCCTATGCATGTACACTTATCAGGGAGTAAGCTATAGGCTTGAGATGTCAATTGTTTATCCCAGATTAGTTAAAACAGAATAGCAAATTTATTCAGGTTCACATGGAAGCAATTCTCCAGTGCTACTATTAACATTCTGTGTCCTCACCCAATCATCTCTTATTCCTTAACAGTTTTTATCATTGTGGCTGTGGATGCAAATTGTGTCTGATATTTTAGACAAGCCTTTACTTCTTCTGCCAGAAAGCAACTCTGCAAATTTTGCATTCACACAAATGGCACAGGATTGTAGCAGCTGTTGAGCTTTTTATTAACATCTAGATGGAAGGTTCTCAACTGAACTGCGTTTGACAATCCATCAGCTAGAGAATTCAGTTTGAAAAAGAAGCTGGGGGGGTGCATAGGAGGGAGGGTCTCATTCACTTCCAGCGCTAGCCTTCCAAGTTAAGGCTTCTCTCACTTGACAGCAGCAAGTGGCAAACTTAAGGAAGCAATGGGTCATGGGAAAGGTCCCATTAGATCAGTGGGAGCACACACTAAACAAATACAGCCACATGGATGCGCACATTTAAATGCTGCCCAGGGGAATATGTAGACATATGTTCAGTGTGGCTGACAGAGGCAGGCTTGGGGCCTCAAGAATGCTATGTTAAAAAAAAAAATCCATCAATCAGTCTCTGGGTCTGTAGTGCAGGATGGTAAAAACAGCAAAAGAAACATGTGCTCGGTTCTCTTCACCTGCTGCCCTGTGAAAGCATCATTGCCTAAGAGATACTGTGATTTCAATTCCAGGCCATTTAGGCCATGAGGGAAAGGGGAGGGTGGATAGGGCAGGAGGGCGAGGGAGGAGAGAAAAGGAGGCAAATATCACTTAGCTTTATGGAGACACCTCCCCAAGCAGGACTAAGGCTATTCTGCTGCCTTGACCATCTTTCTTTCCTAGAGCGCTGGCAGGGTTCCTCCCACTTGAATGAAGACGCTGCCTTTTCAATGCTCAGTGGTTGAAACCAGTGTCTGGCGGCCCCAGTGTGCCAACCCAGCAGGATGGCACCAAGGCTTTGTCATGCCATCTGGGCTCGGAGGCATAAGATGCAATCAAATTAAAATAATTATATCTCAGGCCCCGGTGTTACTCACAGCTGTTCATTTGTCAGGATAGAGCTTGTGCGTGCAGTTGCCACCAGATTAAAAGAACAAGGAATGGATCAATAAAAATCAACGGCTGCTGGTGAGGCTGTGGCGCTGTGTAGCGCAGGACTGCTGGTTGCCCAGGGGGCTACATCAAGGTGATGGGGCTTGGGACACCGGCTTGCAATGCTGTGAATAAATCCTACGGTGATATTTGAAAGCCCTCTTAACTGCTGGTTCTTTTGTGGTAAAAGTTGCACATAACTTTTAGCATCTCATTGTCAGGTGAGGTTCGTCTGTGGAAAAACTCCAAAGCCATTAGGTCAGGGAGGAAACACTTGTTTTCAAGCGTACTTTCTGATACAGTCACGCTCATTTGTTCATGTGGAAGCTATTTCATACATATGGCTCTCCACTATGATTCTGTTATAGGTTCCTACATAAAGTTAGAAAGAAAGAAAGAAAGAAAGAAAGAAAGAAAGAAAGAAAGAAAGAAAGCAATTTGTGATTTATTATTATTACATTAATACAGTCATACCTTGGTTTTCGAACAGAATGCATTCCGGAAGTCTGTTCAAACTTCCAAAACGTTCAGAAACCAAGGTGAGGCTTCCAACTGGCTGCAGGAGTGTCCTGCAGCCAATCAGAAGCCGCAGAAGCCGCACCAGACGTTCAGCTTCCGAGGCAAAGTTTGCAAACCAGAACACCTACTTCCAGGTTTGTGACGTTCGAGTTCCAAGTTGCTCATGAACTAAGCTGTTCGAAAACCAAGGTACGACTGTGTTATTATTATTATAACATTTCAATACTCACTCCATGTTAAATTTGCAAAGTGAGTCATATTGGGACAAACAATCCTAATTAAAAATATACACTGATAGGGTCTGAATTGGTCAACAACAACAACAACAACAACAATAGATAGCTCAGTGGAGATATTGACCCAACATGCAGCAGCTGCAAAAAGGGTGAATTCCATGTTAGGGATCGTGAGGAAAGGGACTATAAACAAAGCTGCCAATATGATAATGCCATTACTCAAAGCTAAGGTGAGACCACCTTAAAAAACTGTGTACCATTCTGGCCGCCACAGCTCAAGAAGGATATTGCAGAGCTGGAAAAGGTTCTGAAAAGGGCAACAAAAATAATCAAGTGGTTGGAGCAAACCCCTGTGAGGAAAGGTTATAACATTTGGGCCTTTTTAGGTTAGAAAAGAGGCGAGTAAGGTGGTGGAGGAGAGATGTGATAGAGGTGTATAAATCAGTACAGTGGTACCTCGGGTTACATACGCTTCAGGTTACATACGCTGCAGGTTACAGACTATGCTAACCCAGAAATAGTACCTTGGGTTAAGAACTTTGCTTCAGGATGAAAACAGAAATTGTGCGGTGGCAGCAGTGGGAGGCCCCATTAGCTAAAGTGGTGCTTCAGGTTAAGAACAGACCTCCGGAACGAATTAAGTACGAGGTACCACTGTATAAGAAAAGGCATGACATGCTGAAGGATGTTATCATCAGATCCAGTTCTGTTGGTTTTCTGACCTGCCTCAAATCACATTATATATCTGGGACAGAATCAAACACTCCCATCCCCATGGCTTTAAAAAGTCGCAGATGCTCCCCACCTTGCACTGTGTTAAGTATAGTTTATACAACGCGCAGCCACAAAAGAGAGACAGAGTTCACACCAGGGCAAATTTCATTGGGGCCCCACTCGTACCTATCTGCTATATCCAGTGCTGGATCTTTTTCTAGCCTCACTTCAAACCATCGCGCGGTACCCACACACAAACACCGACCTTGCATTATTATTTGTTTTAGAACCTGTGTCTTGGTGCTGGTGCCTTGGTGGCTCCTGGGGGCACGGAGCAACAGTCAAAATTCCCTTACTCATGCTGAACTACAGACCACGGCTGTAATGAAGAAGCCACCCCTGGGCCAAGTAACTATAGAAACGCCCACAATAATTACAGAGGCAGCAAAGAGGTGTACAGAAATAGATGGCAAACCGCATTTAAGAGAGTTTGATAATAAGTACCCAGGGACTGGATTCAAGGGAGGAACACACACCACAAGCACATAGCAAGAGGTGATAATCTCCTCCCTCCTTGGTAAACGTGGTGTTTGCTGCAAAACCACTGGCAGCTGTGGTTTTATGATGTGTCCCACAGAGGAGACAAATCACAGTGGTTAAATGGTCTCGCTCCATGTTACTTATTCCTGCCCTGCGCTTGCAGAAGGGAGATATGGAAGGAGGTTATTTGAACTTACTATGCAAATTCTCTGCATAGTCCCATTTCCGTGCAGCTCTGTGGAAATGTCTCATTTATCCAAACTTCAAATTGGTTGTGGATATCTCACAAACTTTACAGATAAGTGGGATTCATCTAGTATTTGTGCAGCTGAGAGGCTCCAGCAGCAGATACATTCCTCCTGCCAACTTCTCCCACCATAGGCTTACATTTCCATTAATTTCTTCTTCTGAACTTTCTTCTAAAAAACCAAAACAAAACAGCTGTGTATTTGACACAGCCTTCTGCTTCCTGCTCTCACAATTGTTTATCTTTTCACAAACCTCTTCTCCTCCCCTCTTCTCTCTACAGCTCCAAGGGCTATTTCTTCTCAGTCGTTCACCGTCTTTCTTTTGCTGATGAAACTTAATCTGTCCTTCTTTTTGCGTGTCCTTCCTCTCCTCCTCTTCCTCCTCCTCCAAATCATTTTCATATTCCCTTCAATTTCTGCTTTTTCACCTTTTAAAATGCAGCTTCTCCTTATCTTCAGTTGCTAAGTCCAGTTCCTATACCTCTCTGTCTAATTTCTCTCTCTCTCTATTGCTTATTCTCTTCTCTGTTCTTTGGTTCACATTTTTAATTCAGCAGTAACCTCCAACACTTTTTCTTCAAACTTAAGCAAGATACTGTCCCACACAGTACTACAAACCAAGAACTACTTTGTCACTGGACTAACGGCCATATTCTTTCTCTTATTTCCTTTCTTTCAAAGCTCTTCAAGCATTCGATCCACACTCCAAGTAGAACACCACATTGTGAGGAAAAATATCAGTTTCCCTTTCCTTCCACCTGAGGAGAAAAAGGAAAATAGATGGCTACAGGACAGGTAAAGGACCCACTTCCAATTCTCATTGCCAAATGTGTCCACTATTGTGTAGTATTTGCATCATGACAGTGAATGTGAGTTTGAAATACGTATTTGCTAAGCTTACACATAGTTCTGCCCTCAGTGTCTCAGTTTTCTTTCTGAAAATTCTCTTTTTGATATATTCCATTGTAGATTTTGCCCTTTCTGTTCAAGCAAGGTTGTTCTGACAAAAGTATATAATGACCTTCTTGCTAAATTCAAAGGCCCTTATTCTGTTCTCCTGCTTCTTGATCTTTCTTCCACCTCTTGACACAGCTCACAACATAATCCTCCATTCTTCTATTCACAGCCAGGGCTTTCATGGATCTGTCTTTGCTTGATTTCATTTCTGTCTTTTTAATCTTTCTCTAAGGCTCTTTGTTAACAGTTCTCTTTCTTCTCCTCTTTCACTATCAACCATTTCCACAGAGTGCAAATACACCAGAGTTCACCAATTCATTTTGGTGCCTTACTCTTTAGTAACACCCCATGTATCGCTTGTGAACTGAGGTATAAGTTTACTGACTTGCTAAGATCTGTAATTATTTGCACAGTGTGTTCCCTTCCCTCTTTCATTTGACCTGCTGTGGTGGTGAGTTGGTGTTGCTATAAGCCTGAAGGGGATGGGACATAGAAAGGCCTCCCCACCCCGCAAGAGTAGGGATGGCCAATATGGTGCCCTCCAGGTGTCATTGAACTACATCTCCCACCATCCTTGAGCATTGGCCATGTTGGCTGGCACTGATGGGAGTTGTAGTCCAGCAATATCTGGAGAGCACCACATTGGCTATCCCTTACTAATAAGAATTCACAGGCCTTTCTCCCCTTATCCTGCTTTGTTTATTTAAGGTCAGGGTGGTTCTCCTCAGTCTAGGTATTAAGGGGGCAAATGGTCCCCCAAATTCTTGATAATCACCATCAGCCTGTGTGGAGGAACACACATTTGGCTTAGCTCAGTGAAGCAGCTCAGTGAAGCAGCATGTAGGACTCAGGGATCGGAAGAGTGTCCCCACTACTCATTCTTTTATTCAAATTAATTAAATGTGCTTTACTCACATTTCGACATCAACATCATGAAAGCAAGTGGTGGGTTCAGGCCTGCCTGGTGCTATCTGCATAACCCTGCCTCTCCGTCTCTGTAACCCACCCATCATTTTAGCACACATAACATGGATAAAGGACATTTCAGTTTTACGTAGAGCCAACATAAATATTTGCACAGAAGCCAATTGGCTAGTTGCCCATTCAATTCTTTTAATGAAACTTTACAGTTTAGATGTTTGAATGTTTAAAAAACACACCCTCAAAACATGAATGTTTTAGTATGTGTTAGATTCTCTTGATTACTTTGATATGAAAATAAGCTGCTATGTCTTAAAATGGTCAATGCACTGTGAAGTATCATATGTTGCCAAATGATCTTCCTAGGTTCTTTAGAAGAATATCAGGGGTTCGTCCATGAGAAAGACAAGCAAAATATAGCTTTCCCACCACTGGTCACCTTCCTCTTCAAGATGCAGTCAATGTGGAATGCTGGGCACATTCTAAGACAACTTGTGAAGGTCCAACATTGCCCAAGGTGAACCAACTATGCGCCATAGAAAATACCCCAGTGCATGGTTCTGTGGGAGACAAGTCAGGTTCATTTCCTGTTGAACTGGAAAACTTGCCCTCAAGGTAGAAAGTTTGAAAACCATTGTGATGTGCCACTGAATATGAGCTATTAATAATGTCTTTTGAGAAGACTGCAAAATATAAAAGGTCGGATCAAATGTTAAAAGTCAAACTATCATTAAGGGCTTTCAAAACAGCAACCCTCATCTATCAAATATCCAGACAACACATGTGCATGCAGGAAAAATCCTGGAGAATACAGGGACATGAAAGTTCCCAAAGGATAATTTTGAGAAGAATCCGTGGAAATGAATTAGCTATAGCACTAAATGGGATGTAGAAAGTTTTGGGATATAGAAACAACATGAGCCCCGCTGGATTAGGCCAAAGTCCCACTAAGTTCAGCACTCTGTTCTCACAGTGGCCAACCATGTCCCATGGAAAGCCCATAGGCAGGAGCTAAGCACTGAGTGCAAAAGAACTCTCCCCACCTCCTACAGCAAATGCAAAGTAGTCTTCTCCTACTCAGGGACAGGTGGCAAACCTAACCACCTCTTCCCATATGAACCTACCTGGACCCTGAGATCATCTTCTGAGGCCCTCCTTCGTGTGCTGCCTCCTCAAGAGGTCTGGAGCGTGGCAACATGAGAACGGGCCTTCTCTGCAGTGGCTCCCCGCCTGTGGAATGCTCTCCCCAGGGAAGTTCACCTGGCACCTTCACTGTACACCTTTAGGTGCCAGGCAATAGCATTCCTTTTCAACCAGGCCTTTGCCTGACTTGATCTACATCCTATACCCTGTTTAAAAATGCTGGCTCTTTATTTTGGGGGGGGGGGTGTTTATTGGGTTGTTGGTTTTATTTCGATTTTATGTATTTGATATTTTATGTGAACTGCCCTGAGACCTTCGGGTATAAGGCGGTATAGAAATCAAATAAATAAATAATTAAAAAAAAGAACAATCTCAGAGTATAAGAAGCATCTGCTGGATACGGCCAATGGGACATCTCACCCACCATCCTGGTCTCACAATGGCCAATCAGATTCCTGTGTGACGTCCTTAAGCAGGATCTGGGCGCAACAGTGCTTTCCCCATCTGAGATTTCCAGTAACACAAATTCACAGGCATCCTGCCTCTGACAGTGTAAATCAACATTACAGCCAAATGACGTGACAATGCAGTTTTTAGACTACAACAAGGTACCCTGCCCTTAACCCTCTTCTTTCAGCTCCATAGGCACCGGGACCCTCCTGCCTTCCTCTCTGCCTCTGGTTAGCTTAAGGATGAGGAGTGGGCTTCTAGACAGTTAGTGAAGAATCACCACACTCTCTCATACCCTCCACCTGCCCCTATTTTCCAGGGATAGTTCCAGAATTACGAAAGCTATTCCAGCTTCTGATTTGATCCCGGAATGTCCCTCTTTCCCTCGCCAGTGCTGCTGCCCCAAGCTCAGGGAGGAGGATCAGCTGACACTTGTCCCAAGAGGTGGCAGGAGCGAGGGAACATCCCATGCCTCTCCATGGCCGCTGCTGCCAGCCTTCTCCCTTGGGTAGCTCACAGTAGCTGCTGGAGAGCGGGCGAGGAGGAGTAGCGGCTCCTGCTGCCAAGGCCCGGCCCAGGCAGAGGGCCTCCTCGGTAGTGGCGCCTGCCCTGTGGAACGCCCTCCCATCAGATGTCGAGGAAATAAACAACTATCTTACTTTTAAAAGACATCTGAAGGCCTGTTTAGGGAAGTTTTTTAATGTTTGAACTTTTATTGTATTTTTAATATTTTGTTGGAAGCCACCCAGAGTGGCTGGGGAAACCCAGCCAGATGGGCGGAGTATAAATAAATAAATTGTTATTGTTGTTATTATTACTGTGTGATATGTCAGCTGTGAGGGGCAGGCAGAGGGCAGGACTGCCCTGGATGGGAAGCGAGGAGGAGCAGAGCACAAGGAGTCTTGGATTGTTTTAAAAACAAAACAAAAAACAAAACACACACAAGAAGAACAACTACTACTACTACTACTACTACTACTACTACTACTACCTTCTGCAACTAATCTTGCCCCTTTCTAAAATTTATTTCTTGGTGTGTGTTTTTCTTTCTGTGAATCTACCAAAGAACAAAATAAAATCAGGATTAAGGAGTGGAGGGCATGTGTGCTGTGTTACATTGTTGAAGTGGTGGCGGCACTAGCCTTCTTCTGATAGGAAATGCTCTGGAGGTGGGAGGGACCCAAAATGGGGGGGGGTTTGAGGAGGATCAGCTGGGGGGAGTGAGAAATGTCCCTATTTTTATCTGAGGAATGTTGGAGGGTATGCTCTCTTCTCCATTTCCCCACTAGAAGTGACTGCATTTCGGCAACTGGTGTAGAGATGGGAGAGGGACACACTCGGACACACAGACAGGCAGGCAGGCAGACACACACACACACACACAGAGAGAGAGAGAGAGAGAATGAATCTGATAGGGCTCTGAGAGAGCCACAGGCTCTACTATACAGTACTTAAGGCTCTTCCTTCTTTGCCTTGCACCTTGATCTTACACATCAGCCTGTGCAAAGCAGAAAATGAAAGGAAAACTGCCTTCAATATCCCCAGCGCCAAAGTGTAAGGAGAAATGGAGGGGGTGGGTGGGATGAGGGAGCAGGCACAGACCAAAAAACACAAAACCAGCCCACAACCAAAGATTTGTCTTCAAATAGCAGCACTTAAATGCTAAGCCCCAACCCTGGCAGGTGTTTGCAATCCTTGATGAGCAGGTGCAGCAAGCGGGCCATTGGGGCTGGTGATGCCCTGCAGCCAGATTAGAGCATTCATTCAGTGAAAGAAAAGGAATGCGCAAAGCCATCGGGGAGCTGGCCAAACACCGGGTAACTCTTATGAAGAAGGCCACTGCCTGTAATGAGCCCCAAGGCCATAATAATTGGAGCCTCCACTTTTGCTCCCTGCTTTGCATCTGTCGCACTATCTCTCACAAAGAGTCAGGGCATTCAAGCTGTGCGGGAGAAGAAGAAGAAGAAGAAGAAAGTGGGGAGGAAGCAGGGAGGGGGAGGTGCATCTTTGCAAGACATGCCAGCTCTTTCCGTGGAGCGGATCGGCATCACCACCACTGATGAAAAACAAACAGTCCTCTAAACACTCTGCTTAAGTATAGTGCTGCTGGTAACTCAGAAAAAAGAGAGAGCAGAACAGAGGTGTTTCGGGACAGGAACCAATAAATGGCAGCCAACCTTTTCATCTGGGTTCTGTAGTTCTGCCTTGAGGTGTAAGCATCATAGGCATTGATGCTTACCTCTGCGCCTTGTAAAGCTTCACCCTGTGATTTCTGCATATTGATGTGGTGAGGGGCACAAGAGCAAACCAGGCTGCTATCACCCTGGTCACTTGGCAACCCTGTTCCCTGACTCTGATGAATGTAGTCCCATCTGCCCCGAGGCAATGTAAATAAGTACACATTAAGCGCACTTTAACTGGAACCATTGATTAATTTGTCATCTTCAAATTGAAACATATAAGCGTAAATTACAGATTTACAGCCCCACTCCCCAGTAATGCTGCTATTTGTATAAAAAAAATCCCCACTATCTCAAACAGCACTGCATGTTAGCTCTGTGTCACTGGCATTTCCCAGGTTTCTAGATTACAGTTTGGGCTCATGTCTGTTCTCCCATTCTAGCCAACGTACTACTGGACAAAGTGACCTTCATGCCAACATCTGCACCATACATTTGAAGCACTATTATACAACTTTAACAGTTGTTGCTTCCCCCAAAGAATCCTGGAAACTGCAGGGGTTTTTTAAGAGTATTGAATTGTTAGTATCATCATCATTTTATTTGTATGCCGCCTTTCCATGGTTAAAACAATGCTCAAGGCATGACAACATGACAAGATTTACATATTTACCAACATAACAAAAGTCATAAGCAATAAATAAAACACATCAAAAAGTACACAACCAAATGGAAAACAATTTGCACCACTTTGGAAACTCCCCATTCACCCATGCAAGGTAAAAAAGGTAGAGGACCTCTGGATCGTTAAATCCAGTCAAAGGCGACTCCGGAGTTGCGGAAGTCATTTCACTTTCAGGTTGAGGGAGCCGGCATTTGTCCACAGACAGCTTTCCGGGTCATGTAGCCAGCATAACTAAACTGATTCTGGCGCAATGGAACACCGTGATGGAAGCCAGAGAGCACAGAAACACTGTTTACCTTCCCACGTTACCTATTTATGTACTTGCACTGGTATGCTTTCAAACTGCTAGGTTGGCAGGAGCTGGGACAGAGCAATGGGACCTCACCCCATCATGTGGATTTAAACTGCTGACCTTCTGATCAGCAAGCCCAAGAGGCTCAGTGGTTTAGATCACAGCGCCACCCACGTCAAACATACACCCACACAAACATACGCCAACTGACAAGAACATCAGCAGACACATTCACTCATCATTTACTCTCCGTTCATTTATATTTGTGCCCCAGTTTCAATCCACAAATATCCACCCGCTTCTGTTGAGTGGCTTCCAAAGGTGATTTTCAACCAATTTGCATCCACAAACACCAGCCTGCTTCAACCATGAGACATCCAGCAGCTTCAGGATGCAAACTCCACTGGCTTCCACCCACCAACATTTGCCAGCTTCTGTTAGGTCCATCATTAGACACCAACCAGCTTCTGACCATGGATTTCAGCAGCCTTCAAGCCACCATCCCACTCAGCAAGTGAACTTGCCTTATTATTGCCCCATAGCATCCTGCTGCTGGATGATTGCCTCCTTCCGTTTGCCAATGTGCTTCCTCCAAGTGGAGGAAAACTGGGCACTGCTGAATGTCACAGTTGCTGCCAGCTGTATCCTGCTGGGAAACAGAAAAGGGCTTTCTCCTTGGCCTGCCTTTGTATCCACTCACCTGCCAAGTGCTTTTGTGACATCACAAGCAGTCCTCTGCCAATGGCAACAGCTGGGGAGGCATCATCTTCATCTCTCCAGGCCTCACAATTGTGGTGTACCTTGGCAGTGATTTAATTGTGTGCTTCTTCAATACGTAAAATAATTACGGCCCACTTTTGGATGAGGGGGACATCATAAAACTGGTGTGGGGGGATGTTTTCCAACACAACGCCTTCATTCCTTGCAGGGGAACCTTCCAGAGTCTGTATGCCAGCATTGGGCAGGGTCAGAGGCATTGGGAAGTGGAGCGATGAATGTGGCTCTTGTTTTTGTACTGTGGGATCCATTCCAGCTGTGCAAAAGCCAGAGATTTCTACTCCCTCCCTCATCTCTCAATCCAGTTGAGCAAGAAGTATCATCACGATTCAAGGAAACTTTCCAACCAGACAAAAGTATTCCAGAGTGCACGGCAAGGCTGGCAAGGGGCCAGACAGAAGTGCCGGGGAGGGGCTGCATTTGGCCCACAGGGTAGAAGTTCTTTACCTCTGTCAAAAATAAAATAACTGTAGCTTGTTCAGGGGGCTGAGAGTTGTTGGGAGACTCTCTTTCCTCTTACAGAGCTACATCTCCCAGAGCTCCCTGTGAAGAGGGATTGTTAAGCCACTCTGAGAATGCAGCTGTGTGACCTAACATTTTATTAGACAAAGTGACATCCGTGCTGATTTTTTTATTTTTTATTTGGCTTGAAAGATCAGTTCAGAGCTGTACATATATGCCTGGAAAGACTGAAGTGACTTTTGCTTACCAGGTGTGCCATGACAGGTGCTGAAGAGGGGCAAACGTCAGCTTTGAAATCAGTGTTTTGCCTCCCTCAAGATGACAACAGTTTAAGAGTTTGTCCAGCATTGTATGATGAGAAATATAGATTTTGCTTTATCAGATCTCTGTGAAAGTGAGGTGGTAGAAAGGACACATGTAGCCTGCCAGCTGAAAGCCAACTAAAATGATCAAAAGGTGGCAGAAATAGTTGATGCAGGACCGATACGCATGTGTAATCTTGACAAAGCAATCTGGGTCAATACATGCCCTGCAAACTCTAGTGCAGCAGTCTATTCATAAGAAGAAAGCAATTATTAATATTCTCCCCTAAATCCAGTTTTCAAGTCTCCTACCTTCCCACCTCTTTCTTAAAAGCAGCGATTATCATACCTCTCTGACTCTTCTTCAGCTAGTAAGCAAACAGCTTACACCAAGTGCTTGAAGGCAGCAGCCAGAGGTAAAGGACCTCTGGACGGTTAAGCCCAGCCCAAGGCAACTATGGGACTGAGGTGCTCATCTCGCTTTCTGTCTGAGGGGAGCCAGCATTTGTCCACAGACAGCTTTCCGGGTCATGTGGCTAGCATGACTAAACCGCTTCTGACACAACAGAACACCATGACGGAAACCAGACAGAAACCAAATGGAAAAGGCCGTTTACCTTCTCGCCACAGCAGTACCTATTTATCTACTTGAACTGGTGTGCTTTTGAACTGCTATTTTGGCAGAAGCTGGGACAGAGCAACAGGAGCTCACCCCGTCGCGGGGATTCGAACCGCCGACCTTCTGATCGGCAAGCCCAAGAGGCTCAGTGGTTTAGACCACAGTGCCACCCACAACCTTTTGAAGGCAGCAGCAAGCACAAGAGTCACACTGGTGGTTGGCTGGCTTGTTTTTGTCAGTATGTATGTGATTGTACTAATGCCAGGAAAGAATAAATCCCTTGGCAAAGGGACAGGATCCTTGCACACCAGACCTATCATCTCCACTGTGGTTATTAGAGGAGACATCTCATTAACAGCTTGTAGTGAGCATCAGTAAACCATGTGCTAGTAAATAATAAATATATGGTGGTTATCTGATATGGCAATTACAAGCCCACAGCTGACGGTGGGGGCTGTTCTCTTCTGGAATATTATCTCCAAGTGCAATCTTTAGCCAGATTTCAATAGCAAAGGTTTTCATTTCCTCAGGCTCCTGGCCTTTACAGCTAATCCCATGTGCCATTCCTTTTAGATTCCCTACACTGTGCTCCCTAATATCATCACCCCATGGAATGGGTGACAAACAGTACACTGAATACAGAGTGGGCTATTTTCTGCAATCTCAGTTATGTATCTTGATACAAATATCTAAACCTCATCCCTTACATGGTCAATCCCAAACTGGGGTCTATATCTAAAAGCAATTAACAGAGAATCCTGTGTCTATTCAATGGGTATGCAAACTAAGGCCTGGGGGCCTGATCCGGCCCAATCGCTTTCTAAATCTGGCCCGTGGACGGTCCAGGAATCAGTGTGTTTTTACATGAGTAGAATGTGTGCTTTTATTTAAAATGCATCTCTGGGCTATTTGCGGGACATAGGAATTCGTTCATCCCCCCCCCCCAATATAGTCCTGTCCCCCCACAAGGTCTGAGGGACATTGGACCGGCCCCCTGCAGAAAAAGTTTGCTGACCCCTGGTTTATTCAATTCAGTTTGCATTTAAAGCCAAATGAATCAAACTTGTACTAAAACAATGTGAGATCTGAAACAAAGTTATTCTTTGCAATTCACACTTATCTAAATTTAGTGATGCAGTTCTCCAGCCAATGTTTCAAAAAATGTATAGATTAGGGGAAGGTGAGCATTTAAATGGGTATTCTTGCATGCCACCCCAAACTCTGAGCAGTGTGAGATTCCAAGTGTTCTAGGTGCTTCACCCAGGGTCTGTGTTTCCTCTTGGAAAGGAGGCACAGTGGAGTTCACGTATATACAACCTGTGTCTACGATGGAGGGGCTCACAGCATGACACTCCAAGAGGTCTTGCTTCTCCCGTAGGCACAGCCTAGGATCCAAACAGACATCAGCCATTGTGCCCTGCCTGCTGCCTTTCTGCTTCCCTGTCACATAACTCCTCCCCAAGCTTCTAATTCACATCATTTTAACTGTGGAGTAAAAGGCCCCACTCATTTTGCCATCTGATGCAGAGTTCCATTTGATGCTTTGTGTGCTCCTAATGGCCCATCCCCAGCCTTTAGCACATGCTGCTTCCAGAGAATTAGCATTGTCTAGCACACAGCTTACCACACATGGGTCTGGAATGCTATAGATGAGCCTAATACATAGGGACTGGCTATTTGCTGGTTTTTAACACTCCAATCATTAATTAAATTATAACACCTATTAGACCCAGGAATTTCAGGTGTCTAGCACTCACCAACTCATAACAGTATGTTGGTGAAATGAACAAGACTCAGAACTGCAGTCCTAACCCACTTGCCAGGGATTCAGCAACATTTAATTCAATAGGACTTACTTCTGAGTAGACAAGGTTAGGACTGCAGCCTTAGTTTCGCGTCAACACAATTAGAAGGCAAAAGTGGCAGGCGGCAGGCAGGTAGGAAGTGGAATGCTCCTCTGCAACACAAACACATGCTGCTGGCATCAGACACGTAGGAGAATTCCCAGGAGGACAGGCAAATGATTCAATTGTACACACTGGGGATTCACAGCATATTGAATAAACCCGCAGTTCACAACTTGAGTGAAGCTAGCATGGGGGAAACTGCATCAAAATGCTGTATTTCAGAAAAAGTTTTAAGATACCTGTGGGTCGTAGGCATGCTCTCTGTTCGGAATTCCAGTTGCTCCATTCCAACCTCTCTCCTTCCAGTTTTCCACGCCACCAACAGCCCGTCAACATTCAGTGGCCACTGAGCACACTCTGTGCCCTTTGCACTGTTTTTGGGATCCCCCCAAGGTGTACCCCCCCCACAACCCTAAAAGGGATTGTTTGTACATCTGCAAATCTCAGGGTTCCTATTGTAGTGCTGTTTCGGCAATGTAAGAGCCAGTATTCAGAGAAGTGAGGTTGCTGTTAGACTTACGATTGTCACGGAGTGCCAACACAGTGCAGCCAAAAGCAGACATTCAAGCCTGTAGTCCCCCAGATGGTTAGCCCAGCCCTCATTATGATTTGAAACTATGCTTAGGTCTTGCATCAAAATCAGGATGCTGAAATTTTGCTGAGCTTGATGCGTCATGACCAGCCCCCATTTCACTCCAATCATAAGAAAACTGTAATTTGCATGAAAGCCAAACAATGATGCAACAAAACTCAGCTGGTAGAGCATAAGACTCTCAATTTCAGGGTTATGGGTTCAAGCCACACGTTCAGCAAAACGTCTTCTGCATTACAGGGGGTTGGACAAAATGGCCCTTGTAGTCTCTTCCATCTCTAAAATTCCATGATTCTATGAACCTCCTCTGGATTTGGTGAAGGACCATGACACAGTAAGAGGGTTTTGAGAAAGAACAGGGCCCTTAGGCAGGCTAAAACCTGCATTATATACAGACAAGAATTATATCACTGTAACTGTTACGGTTTCCCCCTCCCCCAAAGAATCATGGGAATTATAGTTTGGTGAGGAGATTTTGCTATTAGTGATTCCTCCTTCCCCCCACCGGAAACTACAATTACTATTTTCTTAGAAGAGAGTCTTAGAAAAGAATTATGGTCTGAATACACATGAGCTTAACACCTTGTTGAGATCTGGGCCTCATCAGTGGCTGAATGGGGGATTGCCTGGGAACTACCTTTACGTCACTATTCCATTATGGAAGAAATGCATTACATAAATGTATGATAATAAATCAAAAGTTTATAGCAGAGCTTTCCAAACTTTTCATGTTGGTGACACACTTTTTAGATGTGCATCATTTCGCGACACAGTAATTCACTTTTACTAGCAAACCGGATGTTAAACTAATCCCTTTTCAGCCCCGGGAGGAGCGCAGGGAGCATTCGTGTGACACACTTACACACTGCAGCTGACACACTAATGTGTCACAACACACAGTTTGGAAAGCTCTGGTCTCTAGAGTAGTTAGTCCTCTGCTGCACATGGCGAAGGATGTTCACTGGCCTAGTTTGCACATAATATTAAACCATAGTTTAGCAAACTAGTTTAGTGTTATATACACATTCTGCCCAACAATTGAAGTATGGTTTGTTTGCTGTCAACAAACCATGATCTGAAGCCATAGCATGTTGATTATTATAATAATAATTTATTATTTATACCCCGCCCATCTGGCTGGGCTTCCCCAACCACTCTGGGAGGCTTCCAACAAAACATTAAAATACAATAATTCATCAGCTATTAAAAGCTTCCCTAAACAGGGCTGCCTTCCTTATAAACTTATAAGCTTATAAACTTGATAGCCTTCCTTAACTATGATTTGTTTGGCCACCCTAGTCCAGATGCTCACCAGGTCACAAAGGCATAAGATAAGTGCAGCTGGTAAAAATAATAATAAAAAAGAACGGTTGTTTGTGAGACAATTCATCGCTAATTGTGGCTTGTTAAGCAAACCCTCAGGTTAAACAAACCACGGCTTAGTGTTATGCACGAACCAGATCGCTGTATGCAAAGCTCCACTTCCATTTGTTTAGTGAACATTCCAGCTCCCCAAAGTCCACATTTCAGGATTGTGAACCAGCGCACATGGGAATCTTTGAAGTCTTTACTCTAAAGTGCTCCCCCTAAGGAAGCAGGAAGTTCCATAAAAGAAATCCAAACACTTAAAACAAAGGTGGTGGCACAAGCTAATCATAAAACTGACATGGTTTGGGTTGTCACCAGCTCTCATTTCCTGTTGCTTCAGCAAGCAAATGGGAAACATGTAATGTTCCTTTTGAGGAGGTTTATATTATTTATGAACTTTGGGATGAACCTCTGGCCAGGCAAGTCTCCTTTCGTAAGCGTGGACCATCTGCTTACTTGCCCTTTCAAGTTGCTTATGTGCCCTTTGAAGTGTTGTCTAAGGACAGGTTTGTTGATGAGCTTCCTACAATGTGCTCACTTTTAAATTCCTCGGAATTTTTTCAGCACTTGCTGGGAAGCTGCCATTTCCTCTACGGACACTCCCCCTACCCTGCCCTCCCTGCCCCCGCTCCATGGTCTCTTGTCTTTGGCTTAACTGGCTGCTAGTTCTGCAGACACAGGCTTTGTCCAGGTTCTCCTCCCAGCTCTCCCAGTAACCTTTACAGGAAAAAGCATCCCATTAAATGGTAGGTGTTCACTGCTCTCCTGACCACATATTCCAAGATGTTTCCTGCCTATATTTCAGGAGCAGCCTTGAATGCCGCAACCCCCATAGGGACCATTCTGTCAGTCCAGGCATTTAATTAGCTAATTACAACCTGCTGACATGAATACACCAAATATGGAGTTTGGAGAGCAATTTCTTTTTCTTTTCTTTTCTTTTTCTTTTTTTGCAGTTCATTTATTATTAACCCCCCAGTAAACATCTGATATGCTCTTCCCTTAGGGGACAGAGTGGTAATTGGTCCCTTGAACACTAAGTTCTCTTACTAATCTGCCTGAGCTGGAACTGAGTGTCGCCATCTGTCCATATTTACACATACACCCCACCGTGCGTTTCACATTCTGGAAAAGAAAGCGAGAGGGAGAGAGAGAATGGGAAGGAGTATCAGAGAAGTATTTTTAATTCAGTCAGGACCAGCCGCCTTTGTGTAGCACATTTCAAACATATGTGCCCAGCCCAGGAGATAGATAGATAGAGATAGATAGATGATAGATGATAGATATAGATAGATAGATGGTAGAGATAGATGATAGATAGATGATAGATAGATAGATAGATAGATAGATAGATAGATAGATAGATGATAGATAGATAGATAGATAGATAGATAGATAGAGATAATAGAAATAATATAAATAATAATGACCTGGCTATAATGTAGTTTCATTTCCCTCCTCCATTTCTAGTCTTGTGAAACATGTAAGTGTGGAAATGATTAAGTGCCCGAAAGGCAGAATCATAGAATTGTAGAGTTGGAAGAGACCATGAGGGTCATCTAGTGCTTGCTGTGCTTTTGAAGGGAAAATTGGGCCTTGGAAGTGTGACTTGGTCAAGGAGTGAAAATCAGGCAGACAGAAATAAGAGATTCCCATCCCAAATTAAGCCCCTTGGACAATCTGTTTGCGCATCACCTACTAGCCGATACAGCACAACTGCTTTAGTTCTGAATTGGAGGGGGGGAGAACTGAATTAAAATGTGGGGGATGGACTAGCCAAATCAAAAATTCAGAAGGGTGGATAAATAGCATGCAGTTCACATAATGCTACGCCATTAATCATGTTATACAATTAAACTATGGCAGCATATTGAATTTTTTAAATTATTATTAAATTGGACCACACAGTTTTAGGGGTTGCCTATCAACCAGAAAGGGAAACCCATAGCCTCCTCTTCTTCTCTTTGAAGTAGTCTGAGCAACAGAAACCAGAAGCTTTTTGAGCATAATGGATATACAGTGCTACCTTGGTTCTCAAACTTAATCCATTCCGGAAGTCCGTTCCAAAACCAAAGCGTTACAAAACCAAAGCGGGCTTTCCCATAGAAAGTAAGGCAAAATGGATTAACCCATTCCAGACTTTTCAAAACAACCCCTAAAACAGCAATTTAACATGACTTTCGCTATCTAACGAGACCATTGATCCATAAAATGAAAACAATAAACAATGTACTAAAGTCACACAATCAATCAATCAATCAGTAGCTGAACTGGGTTTCACACAGTCACAAAAACAAACCAAAAAAGCCACAAAAACGCAAAAGAAATAGCAAAAACAGACAGACCTCAGTGTAACACTCAAAACAGAAGTGTGGCACTCAAAACGGAAGCATGGCACTCAAAACGGAAGCGTGGCACTCAAAATGGAGCACGTTCGGCTTCTGAAAAAAGTTCACAAACCAGAACACTTACTTCCGGGTTTGCAGTGTTTGAGTTCCAAGTTGTTTGAGTACCAAGGCATTTGAGAACCAAGGTACCACTGTATGCAATACATGCTTCTAAAGTCTACTGAGCACATTATTATTAAAGGCATATAAGCCGGTACAAATGGATAATGCTGGCAGCCTTAAGAAGATCTAAGTCTAATATGTGCTGAAGGAGGCATTCAACTGTTTCACCTGTTGTCCAGCTTAAGACTCAACCCACATGCACCACATTTTGTGGTAGGTGGCAAAATAAAATAAAATAAAAGCAATATTTCTGGGGCTGCCCTCTGGCTTCTTGGGCAATAAGTCCAGGTAAGAGCTAGAAGGAAATCTGAGTGTCACCTGGTCCAACCTGCTTCTCAATGCTAGAACTTCAATACAGGATGCAATCCCCCTGACAGATGTTCCCATCCAGCCTCTGCTTAAAGGAGACCTCACCACCTCCTGAGACAGTCTGTTCCACTGCTGGGCAAGAGCTCTTACAATTAGAATGTTAACCATTAGGATGCTGTGCTGTGGTAAGTACACTTTTTTGCACAAGCTCAGAGACACCCTCCTTTCTGCTGTTGACAGACTGAGCCTGACTGACATCAAGCTTTGTGGAAAATCTACATCAGGGATTAGCAAACTTTTTCAGCAGGGGGCTGGTCCACTGTCCCTCAGACCTTGTGGGGGGCCAGACTATATTTTGAAAAAAATATATGAATGAATTCCTACGCCCCACAAATAACCCAGAGGTGCATTTTAAATAAAAGCACATGTTCTACTCAGGTAAAAACACCAGCCAGGCCCCACAAAGAACCCAGATATGTATTTTAAATAAAAGGACACATTCTACTCATGTAAAAACATGCTGATTCCCAGACTGTCCGCGGGCCGGATTTAGAAGGCGATTGGGCCGGATCCGCCCCCCGGGCCTTAGTTTGCCTACCCATGATCTACATAGTCAGATCTTTATTTAGTCTTCAAATAAGAGTCAGTCTTAAATGCTACAGCAATGGCCCTACTTCTCCACCCACCTACCCCTTAATCAAGGGCATGTCACACAGTGTTGCTAGCGGTATCCTAAAAGTACTTAAGCTGGTTCCATCTCTAACGGAAAAACAAATGTGTGCCCCCCCCCGCCCCGCCCAAGCTATTTCCTCTTGTTCCATTATAATGGCTACATTCAAACAGGTCAGTTTCTGAAAGCTGAGCTCAAGATGGCAAGGGCAGGGCTGTTTTTGTTGAGGTTTTTTGAAAACAAAAAAACTATATATATCATGAATTAATTATTTTCTGCCATGCTTGGCTGTATCAATTACCAGATCCTCAATAGGAGAGCTGCCACAGCTCTGTTACCATGTACGCAGTAATAGCTCACTCT